GGCCATTCATCCCTCCATTCTTCCATCCTCCATCCCTCTGTCCCTACATCTCTCCATCTCTTCATCCCCATTTCTCCATCCCTCTATCTCTCCATCTCTCCATCTCTCAATCCCTCTATCTCTCCATCTCTCCATCTCTCAATCCCTCCATCTCTCCATCCCTCTATCTCCATCTCTCCATCTCTCAATCCCTCCATCTCTCCATCTCTCAATCCCTCCATCTCTCCATCTCTCCATCCCTCCATCTCTCCATCCCTCCATCTCTCCATCTCTCCATCTCTCATCCCTCCATCTCTCCATCCCTCCATCTCTCAATCCCTCCATCTCTCCATCTCTCAATCCCTCCATCTCTCCATCCCTCCATCTCTCCATCTCTCCATCTCTCCATCTCTCCATCCCTCCATCTCTCCATCTCTCAATCCCTACATCTCTCCATCTCTCCATCTCTCCATCTCTCCATCCCCCATCCCTCCATCTCTCCATCCCTCCATCCTCCATCTCTCCATCTCTCCATCCTCCATCTCTCCATCTCCCTCCCCATCTCTCCATCCCTCCATCTCTCCATCTCTCCATCTCTCAATCCCTCCATCTCTCCATCCCTCCATCTCTCCATCTCTCCATCTCTCCATCCCTCCATCTCTCCATCTCTCCATCTCTCCATCCCTCCATCTCTCCATCTCTCCATCCCTCCATCTCTCAATCCCTCCATCTCTCCATCCCTCCATCTCTCCATCTCTCAATCCCTCCATCTCTCCATCTCTCCATCTCTCCATCCCTCCATCTCTCAATCCCTCCATCTCTCCATCTCTCCATCTCTCCATCCCTCCATCTCTCAATCTCTCAATCTCTCCATCTCTCCATCCCTCCATCTCTCCATCTCTCCATCTCTCCATCCCTCTGTCCTTCCATCCCTCTGTCCTTCCATCCCTCTGTCCTTCCATCCCTCTGTGCTTCCATCCCTCCATCCTGGGTGGTTGTCAATTAATTCGAGGCCCAGTGGCCTCAATGAGCAGAGACCGTTCAGAGTTATAATTCATTAAAAACACAGGGTGTTCATTTGTTTGAGCAGCAGCTGTTCAAATTGTCAACGTCATGAAGGTTGTAAAGCTCCCTTATATACCATTCACCACCAATGATCTTCTGTCCCATGGCTGCTGTTGCTAGCCTCTCAAGACAGAGGGTGATCAATAGACGCTATTGTCTATTGAGAATACAAAATGGTGGATTTGTAAAGTCGGGCCTGTACCCCGGCTGTGTAATCTCTCTCCTTTTCCAAATGATTGGTTATCGCAGGCCCAACAGCATCAAATTGATTTTTATTTCAGAAGAACTGAGGGCAGGAAAGGGAGATGGAGACAGTATAATTGGGGTGTGGAGGGGGGAAGGAGGAGGGGGACGCCTCTTTTGTATTGCCTGTGTTGACTCATGGTAGCTCATTTGAAACACAATAGTGGCAGAAGAAGAAAGAAGACTTTGACTATTTGGAAGTCACAGTGTGCTGTGGCTAGACTAGACTGGGTTTGAACGCATAGGAGGCTGAGCTTAGTAGTAGCTGTGATAGGATAAATCATTTGGAATGTAACGGAGCCATGTCTTATTCTGTGTATTCTACATGAGCAACTTGATATGATATATCTGTTCTTGATTAAAATATTGCAATACAAGGAGCAGCAACAAAACATGCTGAAAAGAATTCGACAAAATGATCATATTACTCATGATACTTGCAGCGGGATTGGTCTCCAAATCTCTCTTTCCAATATCCATGAACAGGCAGCAATGATATAATCTTATCCTTGAGCTGGCCGCAGCAGCCTATTACTGTGAAGTATCGCTAGCGCTGGTCCAGGGCGTTAGTGCACAACGCATCCATTGGAGGAACGTGCACTAACGCCCTGGACCAGAGCTAGAATACCACACTCATCATCATGTCACCCAGGAGGCTCAGCAGCATATCCCCCGGCTGGTCAAAGCAGAGGTTCTTTCCAATTGACATTGTCAATGGTAAAAGTTTGATCTTACACATAAAGGAGTGAGACTTTGCAGAACATTGAGATTCCAATTAGTGCATGAGGGCAGTGATAAACGACTATGCTTTTTAACATCAATGAGCTTTGGCCAAAATCTCAAGTCTTCTATTTACTCTAAAGTATAGTCCCTTTTTTTCAGTTCTTTTTTTATTAGCTATAAAAAATGTATCCCTCATGTGTGTGTGCATGCGTCGGTGGATTGGGGTTGGGGTAAAAATCTAAACCCAAATTTCTGTAAGGAAAATATAAAAGACAAAGTATTCTGAAATGATGACAAACAAACACCTTTGAAAATGTCAACACTTGTCAACACTTGTCTCCTGAGTGGCGCAGTGGTCTAAGGCACTGCATCGCAGTGCTAACTGTGCCACTAGAGATCCTGGTTCGAATCCAGGCTTTGTCGCGACCGGGAGACTCATGGGCGGCGCACAATTGGCCCAGGGTAGAGGAGGGAATGGCCGGCAGGGATGTAGTTCAGTTGATGGAGCATGGCGTTTGCAATGCCAGGGTTGTGGGTTCGATTCCCACGGGGGGCCAGTATAAAAAAAATATATATGTATTCACTAACTGTAAGTCGCTCTGGATAAGAGCGTCTGCTAAATGATGACTTCCTGTGTTTTGATAGCTGAGGCATCTCCCTCATTCCATTCCATCAGATTGAGTGCAATAACTATTTTTGTTGTATCCTTTTCATGCATGTCTTTGTTGGCGGCATAACAACTACAGTATCAATCATCAAGCTCAAGTCTCCATCCAGACTGACTCTGATGAATCATGATGACATTTCTTCCAATGTTGTCTCTGTTTCTGATTGGTCGTTTCACTCAAGTCTTCCTCTTTTTGATTCCATTTGAGCCAACTTTGAGTGATCTGTTATGCGTGGTTTATCTGAATTAGATCCCTTAGCCTCCCAACAATGATCCCAGATCAGACCTTAGTCTCCCAACAGTAATCCCAGATCAGACCTTAGTCTCCCAACAGTATTCCCAGATCAGACCTTAGTCTCCCAACAGTAATCCCAACAGATCAGACCTTAGTCTCCTAACAGTAATCCCAGATCAGACCTTAGTCTCCCAACAGTAATCCCAGATCAGACCTTAGTCTCCCAACAGTAATCCCAGATCAGACCCAGATCAGACTTTAGTCTCCCAAAAGTAATCCCAGATCAGACCTTAGTCTCCCAACAGTAATCCCAGATCAGACCTTAGTCTCCCAACAGTAATCCCAGATCAGACCTTAGTCTCCCAACAGTAATCCCAGATCAGACCATAGTCTCCCAACAGTAATCCCAACAGATCAGATTTTAGTCTCCCAACAGTAATCCCAGATCAGACCTTAGTCTCCCAACAGTAATCCCAACAGATCAGACCTTAGTCTCCTAACAGTAATCCCAGATCAGACCTTAGTCTCCCAACAGTAATCCCAGATCAGACCTTAGTCTCCCAACAGTAATCCCAACAGATCAGACCTTAGTCTCCCAACAGTAATCCCAGATCAGACCTTAGTCTCCCAACAGTAATCCCAGATCAGACCTTAGTCTCCCAACAGTAATCCCAACAGATCAGACCTTAGTCTCCTAACAGTAATCCCAGATCAGACCTTAGTCTCCCAACAGTAATCCCAGATCAGCCCTTAGTCTCCCAACAGTAATCCCAGATCAGACCTTAGTCTCCCAACAGTAATCCCAGATCAGACCTTAGTCTCCCAACAGTATTCCCAGATCAGACCTTAGTCTCCCAACAGTAATCCCAGATCAGACCTTAGTCTCCCAACAGTAATCCCAGATCAGACCATAGTCTCCCAACAGTAATCCCAACAGACCAGACTTTAGTCTCCCAACAGTAATTACAGATCAAACCTTAGTCTCCCAACAGTAATCCCAGATCAGACCATAGTCTCCCAACAGTAATCCCAACAGATCAGACTTTAGTCTCCCAACAGTAATCCTAAATCAAACCTTAGTCTCCCAACAGTAATCCCAACAGATCAGACCTTAGTCTCCCAACAGTAATCCCAGATCAGACCATAGTCTCCCAACAGTAATCCCAACAGATCAGACCTTAGTCTCCCAACAGTAATCCCAACAGATCAGACCTTAGTCTCCCAACAGTATTCCCAGATCAGACCTTAGTCTCCCAACAGTAATCCCAGATCAAACCTTAGTCTTCCAACAGTAATCCCAGATCAGAACTTAGTCTCCCAACAGTAATCCCAACAATCAAACCTTAGTCTCCCAACAGTAATCCCAGATCAGACCTTAGTCTCCCAACACTAATCCCAACGATCAAACCTTAGTCTCCCAACAGTAATCCCACATTTTACAGTTCTTCTATACGCACGTATCTCTCAAATACTTTATTCCGTCCTTGTAGCCCATCTGGCCACCTGTCCATGTGTGTCCCTTCTAGTTCTAAGGAGTCGAGAGGATAAAATAATGTCTATAATAGAGAATGATATGTTATTGAAAGAAGATGTGCTCCTCTGTGCCGTTATTCATTTGCCAATTATGTAAAGTACCATTTCAATACATTTGCATTTTAGATAGATAGATAGATAGATAGATAGCATTTTTACATGTTGTACTTAGTAGGGACACAGTCGAAGATAAGCATTGTCATTCAAGTCACTTGTGTGCATGCGTGTGTGGGTACGTGTGTGTGCGTATGTGTTTGCAGTTAATTTTTTCTTTACAAGCGATACCGCAAGTCAGACCTCTGAAATACAATGCCGTAAATCAGGGGTTGCCGCGTCCTGGAGGCGTCTGTTCACTTATTGGGGGTTTCTCCCCTCTGACCTTCTCTTCTAATGCATTTAGAGAAGGAGGTGAGGAGAGAGGATGCGAGGAATGAAGTGTTTGTAATTGAGATTCACCCGTCAGATCATCATGCAATGTGAAGGACATTAATCATACTCAGTGGATTCCTTTGAATAAAACAACCATCTTTCTGTTTAGCCGTATATATACATTGCCTAGTGAAATGTCCGTCAATGACTCCTAACTAAATTTCCTGAGCTTGAGCAATTTTCACAAAAACATTGGATATACAGTGCATTCGGAAACTATTCAGACCCCTTTACTTTTCCCACATTTTGTTACGTTACAGTCATATTCTAAAATGGATTAAATTGTTTTTTCCCTCATCAATCTACACAGGAGGCGTCTGTTCACTTACGTCACGTGTCAAACTCATTCCACGGAGGGCTGAGTGTCTGCGTGTTTTTGGTTTTTCATTTCAGTTAAGACCTAGACAACCAGGTGAGGGGAGTTCCTTACTATACAGTGCATTCGGAAACTATTCAGACCCCTTTACTTTTCCCACATTTTGTTACGTTACAGTCATATTCTAAAATGGATTAAATTGTTTTTTCCCTCATCAATCTACACAGGAGGCGTCTGTTCACTTACGTCACGTGTCAAACTCATTCCACGGAGGGCTGAGTGTCTGCGTGTTTTTGGTTTTTCATTTCAGTTAAGACCTAGACAACCAGGTGAGGGGAGTTCCTTACTAATTAGTGACCTTAATTCATCAATCAAGTACAAGGGAGGAGTGAAAACCCACAGACACTCGGCCCTCCGTGGAATGAGTTTGGCACGTGACGTAAGTGAACAGTTAACCTTTACTGGTTTTTACTGGATGTGATAGATCATTTTCTTTATCTGGACAGCATAATGTAATTACAGCAAAGTACTTACACTCAGCTACAAAACATATTCATATTTCTTAGAATTACTTTGACAGGCTAATACAGCTGTCAGTCTGTGGCACCATTATCTGGCCGATATCGCCCTCTAGTGTTGGAGGATCATTCAAACAACTGCAGAGACTCAGGGTGGATCTAAATTGTATTTATTTTATTCCTCATGTCCTCTCCTCGCATTGGGGGTTTCTCCCCTCTGACCTTCTCTTCTAATGCATTTAGAGAAGGAGGTGAGGAGAGAGGATGCGAGGAATGAAGTGTTTGTAATTGAGATTCACCCGTCAGATCATCATGCAATGTGAAGGACATTAATCATACTCAGTGGATTCCTTTGAATAAAACAACCATCTTTCTGTTTAGCCGTATATATACATTGCCTAGTGAAATGTCCGTCAATGACTCCTAACTAAATTTCCTGAGCTTGAGCAATTTTCACAAAAACATTGGATATACAGTGCATTCGGAAACTATTCAGACCCCTTTACTTTTCCCACATTTTGTTACGTTACAGTCATATTCTAAAATGGATTAAATTGTTTTTTCCCTCATCAATCTACACACAATACCCCATAATGACAAAGCAAAAACAGGTTTTTAGACATTTTTCCAAATGTATTAAAAATAAATAACTGAAATATCACATTTACGTAAGTATTCAGACCCTTTACTCAGTACTTTGTTGAAGCACCTTTGACAGCGATTACAGCCTCGAGTCTTCTTGGGTATGACGCTACAAGCTTGGCACACCTGTATTTGGGGAGTTTCTCCCATTCGTCTCTGCAGATCCTCTCAAGCTCTGTCTGGTTGGATGGGGAGCGTCGCTGCACAGCTATTTTATGGTCTCTCCAGATATGTTAGATCGGGTTCAAATCCGGTCTCTAGCTGGGCCACTCAAGGACATTCAGAGACTTGTCCCGAAGCCACTCCTGCGTTGTCTTGGTTGTGTGCTTAGGGTCATTGTCCTGTTGGAAGGTGAACCTTCTCCCTATTCTGAGGTCCTGAGCACTCTGGAACAGGTTTTCATCATGGATCTCTCTGTACTTTGCTCTGTTCATCTTTCCCTCGATCCTGACTAGTCTCCCAGTCCCTGCCACTGAAAACATCCCGACAGCATGATGCTGCCACCACCATTCTTCACCATAGGGATGGTGCCAGGTTTCCTCCAGACGTGACGCATGGCATTCAGGCCAAAGAGTTCAATCTTGGTTTCATCATACCAGAGAATCTTGTTTCTCATGGTCTGAGAGTCCTTTAGGTGCCTTTTGGCAAACTCCAAGTGGGCTGTCATGTGCCTTTTACTGATGAGTGGCTTCCGTCTGGCCACTCTACCATAAATGCCTGATTGGTGGAGTGCTGCAGAGATGGTTGTCCTTCTGGAAGGTTCTCCCATCTCCACAGTGGAACTCTGGAGCTCTGTCAGAGTGACCATCGGGTTCTTGGTCACCTCCCTGACCAAGGCCCTTCTCCCCTGATTGCTCAGTTTGGCCGGGTGGCCAGCTCTAGGAAGAGTCTTGGTGGTTCCAAACTTCTTCCATTTAAGAATGATGGAGGCCACTGTGTTCTTGGTGACCTTCAATGCTGCAGCAATGTTTTGGTACCCTTCCCCAGATCTGTGCCTCGACATAATCCTGTCTCTGTGGTCTTTCGACCTCATGGCTTGGTTTTTGCTCTGACATGCACTGTCAACTGTGGGTCCTTATATAGACAGGCGTGTGCCTTTCCAAATAGTGTCCAATCAATTGAATTTACCACAGGTGGACTCCAATCAAGTTGTAGAAACATCTCAAGGATGATCAATGGAAACAGGATGCACCTGAGCTCAATTTCGAGTCTCATAGTAAAGGGTCTGAATACTTATGTAAATAAAAAATTCAATCAATTTCAGAATAAGGCTGTAACGTAACAAAATGTGGAAAAAGTAAAGGGGTCTGAATACTTTCCGAATGCACTGTATGTTGTTAAAGTTGGTAGAATCTTGTAAAAAAATGACTCACAGCTGTAATGGCTGCCAAAGGTGCTTCCACCAAGTATTACAGTTTTTGCCTATTGCTTACACACTTTTTGCAGAATTTGGCTCATTATGTCAAAACTCAACACACAAGCCAATCAGACATAGCACTTGGAGATTAACAACTCACATATATGCCAAAATGAAACACTGCAATCAAAACTTAACACTCCTTTCTAAAAATGAAATTCTTGCAACAAAACCATACACACAAGCAACATTTGAATTACTCTTTCATATCACCAGCAACACACTGATGGGCTTTATATAAAACACTGCAGTCTTTGTGTTTCTATTTTTATTGTCATTGTCTTCTGTAAAACTCAAAAGTAGAATTTCTGCAGTAATCAAACAGTATTTACAAAAAAGTTTTTACAAAAAAACGAACATTCTTACAGACATTTTTAACATCAAATTTAGCAACAAAACAAAAGTAAAAAAACAAGACAATTACTGGATAAATTGCTATTGGGGGAAAAAACATATACTTGTTTTGTGTGTGTGTGCGTGTGTGTGTGCGTGTGTGTGGTGGGGGGCGGGGGGGCTTATGGATCACGCCTTCTGTTCGGATCTGGCCACAAGACCTCGTCAACATCACAGGCGATGTCCTCACGGGCTAGGCATCGGGGAAAATATCGCCTTGTGTGCCGAATCCACCCTTGGATTGATCCCACTTCAATGTCTCCACATGCCTCTTCCATTGCTTGCAGAAGAGTCATGCGGGCATGTGGTTGCCGATCATATACTTTCCACCGCCACGCTGAAAAGAATTCCTCGATTGCATTTAGAAAGGGGCTGTAAGGGGGCAGGTATAAAACTGTGAAATTATTATGGTTGTTGAACCAATCTCGGACCAGAGCAGCCCGGTGAAAACTAACATTATCCCAGATGACAACAAACCTGGGCTGCTGTGGTCTGTCCTGCACAACTGCATGTAGTGCATCTAGAAATGCAATGACCTTTCCTGTATTGTAGGGACCTAGAGTGGCATGATCCTTGGACACTAATTGCAGCACACAAGGTGATATTTCCCCCACGCTGCCCAGGGACATTTACAACAGCCCTTTGTCCAACTACATTACGGCCCCGACGCCTGGTTTTGGCCAGATTGAAGCCTGCCTCATCCACGTAGATGAACTCATGCGGCAGTTCGGCGGCATCAAACTCCAGAACTGTCTGTAACAGAAAATATTGAATAGTGTTACTGAAAACACATACAGTAACTACAATGTCTATATTTTCACACAAGTAGGGGCTGGGTTGGGTGAGTATAGACAAAAACCACAAGCTACAGGCAGGGCAGGTGGCAGCATAAACCCTCATTCCCACATCACAATATATAGTATGTAAAGTAAAGTGACACATACCTGCACATAATCATGGCGCAGATCCTTGACCCTGACACTGTTCCTCTCAAATGACACCCAGTACAGCTGCTTCATTCTGAAGTTATGTTTCTGTAGGATGCGACTTAGTGTAGAAATGCTGACCCTGTTGATATTGTTGAATTCATTTCCATTTGCAATTATGCGTTGTTGCAACTCACGAAGTCAGATTGCATTATTTTCTCGCACCATTTCAATGATGGCAAGCTCTTGTTGTTGAGTGAAGAGCCGTTCCCTTCCACCTTGAGGAGGTCGTCCAACCATTCTGTAGAAAATGCCACCACAAGATGTCATTGGTTAGGTTATTTTTCACATACTGTACTTTCAAACTGTACACAGTACTGCAACATCACAATGGTATTCCTTTACATATACAGTACTTCACAGCACTACCCATTTTTGTATAGTATAGTTAGTACAGTAATACTGTAATATGATACAGAATCATGTGACACACACAGTAGGTACAGTCTGGAGTAGAAACTTGAAGATATACCTGTTCTCCAGTCGGAATGTCCTTATTATCGATGCTACTGTGTAGTGACTGAGGTTAGGGTGGACTCTTTGCCCAGCCTCCCTCATGGACAGGCCATGATTTATCACATGGTACACCAGAGTAGCCCTGATGTCATCTGATATACGTCTCCGCACTGGTCCTCGTCCTCTTCCACATCCTCTTCCACATCCGACTCCTCTCTCTCTTTGTCCTCCTCTTACTCTGACTCTCATTGCCTCCATGCTTGCAAAGTTCTAAAAATGGCTTACCTGAGGCCTATTTGTAGTGCTAAGGCTCAGACTGATTGGTGTTCTGTTTTCTGTGCAAGTGTTTTCAGGTGTGTATGTAAGTGCATACAATTGCCAGATGAGTTTTGCATTTTGAACAGAGTGTTTTCCCAATGATAACAGGTGATTTTGTTTTTGAACAAAGTGTCTAATGTAAGAAAACGTGTGTAGTGTTTCGCAATAAGTGTGTTACAGAATTGCAAACAAAGTGCAAAGTTGACATTGTGTTTAAGCTATGGTTACACTGTGTTTAAGGTATGCTACAAGAAGTTTAGGTATTGAGGCTTTGGTCTAAGCATTCGGTTTTAGTGTGTAAGCAATGGGCAAAAACTGTAACTCTGGGGTGTGAAGACATACGCAATCGAGACATCTTCTTTTTTATAAATGTTTTTTTAATTTAGAGCATTTTCAATAATTTTTCTATCACTTTGAAAATGTTGAGTAGGTTGTGTAGATCGGTAAGAAGAAAATCTAATTTATTTCCTTTTGAGATTTAACGCAGCAAAATCTGAAGACTGTGCAAGGGGTGTGTAGACTTTCACTAGCGGCTGTATATGTTTCTGGGTCTAAGGTACTTACTACAACCTGAAGAAAATGTGATGCGGTCCAATCTGAATGAGATTTATTAAGCCTTTCCTGTTCCTGTATACACCTACAGACAATACCATAGACCTGTACTCAATTAGTGTGTGTTTGTGTGTGTGCGTGTGTGTGTGTGTGCATCCGTGTGTGTGTGTGTGTGTGTCCGTGTGTGTGTGTGTGTGCGTCCATGTGTGTGTGTGTGTGTGTGTCCGTGTGTGTGTGTGTGTGTGTGCGTCTGTGTGTGTGTGTGTGTGTGTGTGTGTGTGTGTGTGTGTGTGTGTGTGTGTGTGTGTGTGTGTGTGTGTGTGTGTGTGTGTCAGGATCCTGGAGCTGCAGCAGAACGGGGACATGGACATCCTGAAACTGAAATGGTGGCCCCGGGACAGCCCATGTGACCTGTACTCAGCGGTGCACACCAAACACCGCGGCAGCGCCCTGGACATCCACAGCTTCGCCGGCGTGTTCTGCGTGCTTGCGGCCGGCGTGGTGCTCTCCTGTCTCATCGCCATGGTGGAGACCTGGTGGACTAGGAGGAAGGGCTCACGAGTCCCCTCCAAGGAGGTGAGGAGCTGGGGGAGGCCGGGTGGTTGTGGGGGCTGGGTCTGGAGGTCTGGGTAACACTTGACTTGAACCCTCTGTTTTACTTCTGTGGCTGTATGTCATGTCTACTGTACATGGTGTCAGTGTCATGATGTTACAGATGTTTGTACGTTGTCAGGAGAGCTCTCGTTTACCTTTTAAACTGTCAGTCAAGTGTCTGTCCCTTGCTGTGGTGTCCAAGCTATCCACGGCCAGCTGGTTGGACGGATAATAAACAAATGTCTCATTTGGTGTTTGATAAGATTTCGTACACAGTGAAACTCTGGCACACTCCTGTGTTTTTTCCCTCTTTGCCACTGGAACTACATAAGGTGTGAGAACAAACCTATTTTCAGAAGATATCATCAACTTAACTGATATCTGTTGCTGGGACTGCACATGAAATAGGACACGTCCCAAATGGCACCCTATTCCCATATAGTGCACTACTTTTGACCTGGACACATAGGGTGTCCCATAGGACACTGTTCAAAAGTAGTGCACTATATAGGGAATAGGGTGTCATTTGGGATGCAAACAAACGGTAGTATATGATTTCCTCAAGGCCCTCAAATAATGATCATTCTGTGCAGAAACCCCAATTTCGACAGGTTCACTGGGCTAAAGATGGACCAGCCCATCTGACATTTGCCCGAACTGCCTTTTGGCCAGTCCGATTCTGAACAGAGAAATAAATGTAGACTCTCAGAAACATCTGAAGTGCCATAGAGTTGGAGACGAAGGCCTACCAGCTTAAAACAGAAACTTACTTAATGTTAAAGGCCTGTATTCAATTCAGATGTCCCTGAACATTTGACTGCTCACACAAGGTACAGCCATACATAACACATCCATAATTGCCCTTTCCTATATCTCTCTTTCTGTCATATATCTTATTCCACTTGTGCCCATAATGAGCAGGTAGGCATAGCCAAGGTGTTTTGATCACTTCTAGACCCGAGCAAAGTGGTTATGGAAATGGCCCAGCGTTTCAAAGACTGTGAAATTCTACACAGTAAAGCTGATATGAAATGTACTAATGAGCTAAGAGCAATGCAGTTATGGAAAATACATATTATCACGCCCAGTTTAGTGTTAATTAGTCATGTATTAGTTACAATCACAAATTAAATCATGCCATGGAGTGGCACTGAATTAGGATAATGTTATAGCAAATACATTTTATAAATATAGCTGTGAGCAGCAATGAACAGGGTTCACAGATTGACAGAAAGGACACAAGATCAGTTGGAAAACAAAGCAAGCACTCTGTCATGTAGGAACTATCTTTATTTATGTGCAATCAGTGAAAGCATTACCATGTTGATTTAAATCTCAGTTGGTACGCTCCACATTAGCGTTCCAAAATACTTCAATACGCTCTCACAGCTGTAATACGCTGGCTGTGCAAGCCGCAGGACTTTCGGTTTCTCATTTTACCGAATAAAATAGCCACTTTTCACTACGTTCAGACCACATAATAGGACAACAGTGTGAATATGACCCCTACACTTCACCCTGCCACATTGTTCGCCTGCATAATTTAAATCTAACATTCATTTGCATGACAGAAAGTCCACTTGATCAATAGTTATTGCTCTAGTATCCTATGGTGCCACTGGTGCCAATGACATCTATAGTGCCACCAACTGGTCTGGTGAAGCCATCTAAGGTTGAAGTGACTTTATATTCACACAGCTTCTAAGGACGTACTGTATACATAAGGTTTACATAACACATGTAATTGTCCCATGTCCATCGGCTCAGTTCTAGTAGCCAGTTGTTGTTACCCATGGTGTAATAATCTAACCCGCTGGCTCCTGAAGCCACCATGAGCTCCCGAGTCTAGAAGCAGTCTAGTTTACACGTTAGCTAGCGTCGTGAATTAGCATTTCGCTAGCTAACTGAGTTGTTTTACAAGAAAACGAGATGACTCAAACCCTGTAGCTAGCTAGCAAGCCCTCCTCCGTGACAATGTTATTGAGGCGCGGGTATGTTAGATTTGACATTTAATTTAAAGTTAAAAGTCATTCAAGTTGGTGGTTACTACTGGTTTCAGATCCAAGGCGAGCGAAACTCTCCGCCATGTTTTTTGTTTTGGTAAGGACTCGGAGTGACGTCACGCACCCAAGAAGCCTCAACCAATCACCGGATGAATATTAATTGCCATGTCCGCTGTGAACACCTAATAAAGTAAAGTCAATAATAATAATATAATAATAATAATAATAATAATAATAATAATAATAATAATAATAATAATATGCCATTTAGCAGACGCTTTTATCAATCTTAGAATGGGGGTCAGTTTACCACTAAGATAATGGTTTTACTCCACTGAAATATATTTTTTAAATTTCCCATGTTGAGAGTAATTTATCAAATCCATTACGTTGTAGCAGTGGGCTAGTGGTCAGAATTGGCCCTAATAGGTTAGTTAACGTTATCTGATTGAAAGCAATCTGACAAGTATGAAAAGCTATTAGTTATGAGTTAGTCATGCAGAGATCCTCTCAACCTATCAAGTCACAACCAACCATGCAGACACCATCATAAACACCACTATCAATATGATCCACACACCACCCTCTTCCATCTCCTCTCCTCTCCTCTCCTCTCCTCTCCTCTCCTCTCCTCTCCTCTCCTCTCCTCTCCTCTCCTCTCCTCTCCTCTCCTCTCCTCTCCTCTCCTCTCCTCTCCTCTCCTCTTGTTTCCCCTCCCCTCCTCTCCCCTCTTCTCCACTCCCCTCCTCTAATTTCCTCTCCTCTCTCTCTCCCTCCACTCCCCTTCCCCTCTCAGCTGGTGTCTGTGTGTTGTGTTCTGACTGTGTCCTGACATCAGAGCCATGCCACAGGAAGCTGCGTGCTCAACAGAATGGCTGTTTAATCTCTTCAGCTTGACAATAATGAAGGCTTTTGATCAGGGGAGCGAGGCCTGTGTTGTCTCAGCTCTGTTCCCCATCATAGCACCCACCCTGGCCCTGTATCCCCTACTCACGACCCTCTGCACTCACAGCAGCTTTAATGTGTCAGATTGACCAGTGAGCCTGTCTGCCAGTGGTCCTGGGCAAAGAAGCCCAGCGGGCACCGCGCCATCTTTATTAACCTTCAATACAGGGACCATGACTGACCAGTGTGTCTATTACTGGGGTTCAAGGTCTTTGCAATGGACAGCGTTGAGAAATCAATGTGATTAGCAACTCACTTCATTTAGCACTCAAATAGTCCTATCAGAATTGACATTTACTTTGGTTAGGTACTTCATGGATATTGGTTGCACTGTAAAAGAAAATTAAAATTAAAAAATTAAAGAATCAACATTTACATTACATTTTAGTCATCTTATCCAGAGCGACTTACAGTTAGTGAGTGCATACATTATATTTTTTTTATACTGGCCCCCCGTGGGAATCAACCCACAACCCTGGCATTGCAAACCCCATGCTCTACCTACCCTGGACAACACTGGGCCAATTGTGCACCGCCCCATGGGTCTCCCGGTTGCGGCCGGCTACAACAGAGCCTGGATTCGAACCAGGATCTCTAGTGGCACAGCAATGCAGTGCCTTAGACCACTGCGCCACTCAGGAGAGTATCAACTGAGTTTAAAGCTGGAAGTTCGTAGTGATCTGTTGCGAGCCCTCACCTTCTTTTGAATATTGAACTGATTTGGAATCTAATTCATATAGAACTGAATATTGAGTGCTGCATTAAATGTCTAACATTATACCATCTATGGAATCCAAGGGTTTCAGCAGTGGCCCAATGCTGCCCTGGTGAAGGCAGTGAGGACCCCTACACTTCACCCTGCCTATGGCCCATGGCAATGCTTGTGACCGTGGTATCGTGGTTACAGTCAGCAGGGTGGTGGTGGTGAGGTCACATCCTGCTGGGCCCAGTGCAGTGTGTCAGAGTGACCCAGTGTGTCTGTAGGGAAGAGGATATGACTAGGAGCACTACTGCCTTTAAAAAAAAAACATTTTTAGTCATTTAGCAGACGCTCTTATCCAGAGCGACTTACAGTTAGTGAGTGCGTACATTTTTATTTTTTTCATACTGGTCCCCCATGGGAATCGAACCCACAATGCTGGCGTTGCAAGCACCGTGCTCTAACAACTGAGCTACAGGGGACTACGACACTAAGAGCAGGCCTGGGGTCAGTAGTACTGTACTCCTTAATATAGCTCCTTAATATAGGCTGTGTCCTAAATAGCACCCTATTTCCTTTATAGTGCACTAAACCCATAGTGCTCTGGTCAAAAGTAGTGCACTATGTAAGGAACAGGTTGCCATTTGGGATGCAGGCATAGTATACATGCTCCCTAGCTCTCTCACACAGACAAAGAAAAGCGTAAAACGTGCATACAAGCATACACACACCAACAACAAATGAGGGATGTCACAGCTGCTATCAGTATTATGATATCAATCACGTTTGGCTTGTCGCAATTAAGCTAGTGCTCAGCTTTGAGGGGAAATAATCCAACCTGCTCTCAAGAAGTCAAATGTACTTTGTCCCCTTTGTTGCCTATTTTGCATAATGCCTCAATGATTTCCAATCCTTCTTCTCCTTTTCCTTCATCTTTCACAATCAGAAAAAGGAGTCACTTAAATATCCAACAATAATAATAATCATAATAATTTATTATTACTCTCTATGGGAACACACACACACACACATACACACACAATCCTACATGTTTCATTTGCACCTGTCCTCTTTCACACGGTCCACACACACAGTCGACACAGACACACAGCTCCCACTGAGCTCCAACCCAAAGCCACGTTAGCTGCCTGGGGACGAGTTGTGTTTGTGTCTCTGTCTTCCTCCTGGTACATACTGTACATCCCAATATTCTAGAGGCCTGTCCCTGTTGAGGCCTCTGTTTCTATGTGATCACTGTCAGTGTTTCTGTGTTGCATATCTGTGTTGTGTTGTGTGATGTGTTGTGCTTTGTAATGATTAACACTGTGATGAGCCCTCCATGTGATCAATAGAGTTCAGTAGAGTTCAGTAGAGTTCAATAGAGTTCAGTGGAGTTCAGTGGAGTTCAGTAGAGTTCAGTGGAGTTCAATAGAGTTCAGTAGAGTTCAGTAGAGTTCAATAGAGTTCAGTAGAGTTCAGTAGAGTTCAATAGAGTTCAGTAGAGTTCAGTAGAGTTCAATAGAGTTCAGTAGAGTTCAGTAGAGTTCAATAGAGTTAGTCCTCTACTACTGGTCATGCATGAACACTACCCTCCAAGCAGATATAAGATTTGGGTATTGGGGGTCTCTTAAATGAAAACATTTCAATGCTTCAGTGTTGCAGGATTAATTTCCAACCCAATCGGATTGCCAGATGCATTTGGACATGTCCAGCAGATACAATAGTTAACGTCAATGTGGGGAGAGGTGCCTTGTCCATAGGTATAACAGTAGTGTAGACTACACACAATATGGCTCACTGTGGCTTTGAACCAGTTTAGTTAGTTTATTAGGATCCCAAGTATCTGTTGCTCATGCAGCAGCTACTCTTTCTGAGGTCCACAGAAAACATAAAATACTTGACACAGTACACAACAGTTATAGAATAACACAAAGGCAATACTCCATTAAATCCTTATACGCTGGTCACCAATGCATCTCCTTTGCTGCTACATTGCACGACTGTGCTTTTGTGGCTTTATACATGTACCACAGATGTTGATGTTACTTGGGGACATTTGGGTGGTGGGTGGTGGATCTGTCTGGCTTTACGGGAGGGTGGCTATAGGGGGACACTACACACAATGGACACTACACACAATGGACACTACACACAATGGACACTACACACAATGGACAGCCACTCTGTTGATGATGCTGAACACAAGATGTTTGATCATGTTTGATTTACTGTCCCTGCTGGCTGAAAGCTTTCATTCCCTTGTTGTTTTGTTTTGTAGATAAGTACTCTGTGTTGAGGGTAAAGCGGGCGAGGGAGAGCAATACAAAATGCCATTTATACATCTCACCCTTCCAGGTATATCTTCGAAGGCTCCTCCTCGAACATTAAGAAAAAAAAACACTGAGTCTGTGTGTGTGTGTGTGTGTGTGTGTGTGTGTGTGCTGACTGCGCTGTTTTTTCTGCTCACCCTGGCCTCCCAAAAAATCCCTCCTTCACCCTCCCATCTGCCTGCTCTCATCCTCTGTCTGTCCGTCCGTCCGTGTATCTGTCCATCTGTCTGTCTTGTCTGTCCCTCTCTCTCTCTGACCTACGCACAAACACAAACACACACACAGGCCGATGGCACTTCCGCCAGGCAAGCTGAACCATGCTGCCACCAACATGACACCCCCAATGACATCCCCCTCACCACTCTCAGGACCGCCCCCTCCCCCCATTACCCCAAGTCACCCGCATGCTGTGACATCCCATGTGCCTTGATCGTCCAGCACACGTTCGAACCCAACGACGACCCTTCCCAACTCACCCCCAAAATGAGAATGACAACTTTTACTGCCTCTCCTCCCACCTCCAGGTTATACCCATGACAGGGCCTTTAAGCATGAGCCCATACGAAGAGTCTTGTTAGAGCAAATCCCGAAACATTCAGTTGTCGAATACAACTCAGATTGTCATATTTCTTGTTTTATGATGACAAAAAAACTATGGCATTGATGACATTTCTAGTCACAGGCACTGCCTGTCGATAAATGAACTACGACGCCTTCCCTCCACTAGAGGGCTTGCAGCATGCTCTTTCTGACCAGGGCAGAATAGGGTTTAGTGTGCAGTCATGTAATGAGCTATGATGCCTTCCCTCCACTAGAGTGCTTGTAGCGGGTTAACAGGTGCATGTTTGGCTAAGGCCTACAGTATGGATCTGTACAGTCCAATTCAAATGAATGAAGGTGTAGCCACTCAAACATGAACGAATTCTCCCCAAAAATGAGCCCTTCACATCGGTCTGATTGAAACAGAGGCCAATCTCTTAGAGTACTTAAATGTATTAACTCTGTTTTATATTCAGCTTTGTGTGTTAGCAAAGTGCTGCTACACAGAACCCTCTGCAGGTGAACCAACAGCAGGCTGTTCCTCTTGTCGTACGACAGTTACCCATAAGGTAACCTGGCTCTCGCAGTCAACAAACTGACTGTTCTCTCTCACCACCCCCTCCCTCGTTCCTATACTTTCAAACCCTCCCTCCTTAGTCCATCCCCCCTCCCTCCCGGGTTTGTGGCGTGACTAGGTCCCCACAAACAGCACCTCCTCCTGCCCCCTCCCCTTCTAAGATGAAGAGGGTAACCGTGGTCCCCTCTGCCCCCCCATCGCAGCCGGGGCAAGACCCCCCTCCACGCCACATGGTCAGTAGCTGTCTGTGACTCTGTCCATACCCCTCACCGGGGATGCTCTCTCTCAAAATAGAGGAAGGCTGTGTGTTCCCCACCTCCACCCCACAGTACCCACTCCCCGTACCCCCGTACCCTCACAATGGACACAATCATCTCACAAGCTGAGCCACTTTCCTCTCAGCACAAGCATGAGACACCACTCTCTAAGTGTGACCATCCCAAAGATGTTGACCAATCATTTTTATTTGGATGTAGTAGTGCTATTTATATGTCTGTATCAACTATTTTTTGACAAATACATTTTTTGTTCAATATAAATATCTGGGGGAAATGGGTAAACCCCTTTCCGCTCTAAAAAAAAGTATCTCGATTTACAAAACAGATCATTGAATAAATGTAGCTAGCTTGAACTATTGTCAGATACAACCATACATCGTCATTATACAACCATACATCCTCATTATATAACCATACCATCCTCATTATACAACCATACCATCCTCATTATACAACCATACCATCCTCATTATACAACCATACCATCCTCATTATACAACCATACCATCCTCATTATACAACCATACCATCCTCATTATACAACCATACCATCCTCATTATACAACCATACCATCCTCATTATACAACCATACCATCCTCATTATACAACCATACCATCCTCATTATACAACCATACCATCCTCATTATACAACCATACCATCCTCCTTGACACTCCTTTTTCCTTTGGCCATGCAATCTCCCCTCTTCTCTCACCTCACCGTTCGTTCACTCCACTGTGCCTTCCCCCATCCTCCTTTCTCCTCTCCTCCTTTAACAACCACTCCTTTTTCCTCTCCCTCCTCCTCCCCTCCTCCTCCTCTTCCTCCTCCTCCACCTTTATCCTCACTCTCCTTTGACCCCATGTCCTCCGCCTCCTCTCTCTCTTTTCTCCCTTGACCCCCCCCCTAACAACCCACCCCCTTACACCACTCCTTTGACCCCATTCCTCTCCTCTTCTCTCTTTTCTCTCCTTTGCCCCCCCCCCCCTACAACCATCTTTTTCCTCCCTCCTCCTCCTTCCTCCTCCTCTTCCTCCTCCTCCACTTTTCGCACTCTCCTTTGACCCCATGTCCTCCGCCCCTCTCTCTCTTTTCTCTCCTTTGACCCCCCCCCCCCCCCCCCCCCCTGCAGGACGATAAGGAGATCGACCTGGAGCACCTTCACCGCCGGGTTAACAGCCTGTGCACGGAGGACGACAGTCCCCACAAGCAGTTCTCCACCTCCTCTATTGACCTGACGCCCCTTGACATGGATTCTATGCCGGCTGCCCGGCAGGCCCTGGAGCAGATCAGCGACTTCCGTAACACGCACATCACAACCACCACTTTCATCCCAGAGCAGATCCAGACCCTCAGCCGCAGCCTGTCCACCAAGGCCCAACAGGGCTTCGCCTTCGGTCCCGTGCAGGACCACCGGACTGGGGGGACCTTCAGACAGAGAGCCCCCAACGGTGGCTTCTTCCGCAGCCCCATCAAGACTATGTCCTCCATACCCTACCAGCCTACTCCCCAGCCCAACTTCAGCTACGGCAACGATCCCGATCGGGGTACGTCCATATGAGGCGAGGAGGAGTAGGCCACACAGTGAGAGAGATGTAAACAAACTCACTCACAAAGCTCTATGTACATAGGAATCTTTTTCAGTTCTGTTTTTTTTTGGGGGGGGGGGGTTGCTTTTGTTCAGTGGAGTGGGGGCGGTGGGTGGGTGGGGACTTGAATGTTTTCTTTATTGTTATCGTTCTTGTGGTTTCCAGGGGATTTTTGGTGTGTGACAGGGACCTGTTTTCTCTTTTTCATTCCATCGCATTTGTGGACTGCTTTTCTGAAGAAGCATATGACTCCTATGTATTTTTTGTTTTTATAACAGAAAACACTTGTCTGTCTGTTCTTGAGATCCACAATCGGCTATTACCCAATGCTCATTTGGAGGATGTTCTTGTCTTTGCCTTTCGCGCTATGGGACTCCATCCAACTCAGTTCTTTGGTGTTGCTCATCAATGCCTGTGCTCCAAATCTGAAATCTGCCCCAAAATGGGTGTCCATTGGCTCAGCTACCCTGCATACTGAGACCTCACCGTCTGAGCTCTGGAAACGCTCCGCCATTTTGGTGCATATAAGACTCTATCAATTCCACTGCACTCACTGCACCAGTGCCCACAGACCTGTGTTTGATTGTATGTAGTTTGGATATTCTTTCTCACCAGTACTGTGATGTCTATTTCAAGGTGAGAGCCTCAGCCTCTAAAACGGACACTTCTTGAGAGACGCATAGAGGCACATAAAGGACTGAAAATAACTGAGATAAAAGACAGAAAAAATTACTTTAAAAGCAGCTAAGGCTATTATATGTATTTTATTGAATTTGTTTTGAAAATACATTTTAATGCGTGGAATGTGTTTGGTCAGGAAGTAAAAAAAAAAAAAAACATTGTTCTGAACGGTCTACGTGTTTCTCAGCCAATTTTGAAAACCGCTAAATGAGCGCTATAGTTTTACTCTGATTTGCATCATAAATCATATTCAAGTTGTTTTTCACCTTATTTGTAGTTCTGCCAGGGCTCAGTCAGAAAAAAAGTCACGTTTTTGTGCATTCGTGTCATTCTCCAGTCCACTAACTGACTGTTGTAAGGGCAAACAGTTGGGCTCAGATTGAGGAGAAGCCCTTTCCGATAACATCCTCAGCACAAGCCTTATCAGTACAGGCTGGCTTGTCCTTGCCAGTCTCCTGTTTCAATAGGATTTCTTGCCATTGGAACTGTAGAGCTGATGGCAACCATTTTGAAAGATATTTCTATTTCATTTTGTAAATGTTAAGGGTACTGTTTATCTAACGTTTTTAAAGTGCCAATTGTTTAAAAGAGAACATTAAGGTGAGGTTTGGGGGGAGGGGTTCAAAAAAATAATAATGTGAAGGGAAAAGAGGAACCAAACCGTTTCACTAACGCTGTATTAATATTTAATAATGTTAGTTGTTTAGAATGAGCTTTCAATTTGTTATCTTAAGACTAAACCGCAAATGTTGTGCATAGAGAACAGCAGCAGTGTTTGATGCAAGCATTCTAGATGTTATATTCTTAACCTGCAGTATGGCTGTCGAATGACAATAGGACACAGACAACGTTTAAAGAAGTTTTATTTAGTATAAATGACAGAGACATTATGAAATGTGTATATTTTACATGTTGATGCTATTTTTGTTTAATACAAATAATATATCATATGAGCATTGAGTTAGCAGTCACCCTACACATTTTCGTTTCCCCCAGTTCCAGACCACACACAAGCTTTCTCATGTCATTTTGAGTTCATTTTGATTTGCTGGCTAATAACAGAGGCAAGTTCTTAAAAAGAAGCATGCACAACTTGCTATGCCCATAACATTTTTTTATTTCATACATACTTGATCATGTTCAACTGATTATAATGTACAGTATTTAATATAGGCCTATGGTGTTGTGTGTGTTGCATATTATTCAAATGGAACAAACTGAGGCCTCTGTTACAAGTGGCAAAGCTTTCTGTGTATAATTTGTCTAATAAACTTGTTTTCTACAGTGGTATGGTTTTTGTAGTCTTTGCTGTGAATGTGTAGGCTTGCCAGGCAAGTTGTTTCAGTTTTCCATTTAAAGAGTTTATTTCCAAAACGCTATATCCACTAATTTTTCACATTGTGTTTTTTAATCAGAAATGATTGCTTATGGCTACCTTCATGTGTGTGTAAAATATTACTGTTCTTAGACTTTTAATTCATAGATTTTAGACATTTATGCCTTTTTTTTGGGGGGGGGGGGGGGGGGGGGGGGGCTAAACGCTATATATCCATTAATTAGCTGGAATGGAATGTACGTATCCTGTATATATGACTGTGATACAGTGGGGGAAAAAAGTATTTAGTCAGCCACCAATTGTGCAAGTTCTCCCACTTAAAAAGATGAGAGAGGCCTGTAATTTTCATCATAGGTACACGTCAACTATGACAGACAAAATGAGAAATAAAAATCCAGAAAATCACATTGTAGGATTTTTTATGAATTTATTTGCAAATTATGGTGGAAAATAAGTATTTGGTCAATAACAAAAGTTTCTCAATACTTTGTTATATACCCTTTGTTGGCAATGACACAGGTCAAACGTTTTCTGTAAGTCTTCACAAGGTTTTCACACACTGTTGCTGGTATTTTGGCCCATTCCTCCATGCAGATCTCCTCTAGAGCAGTGATGTTTTGGGGCTGTCGCTGGGCAACACAGACTTTCAACTCCCTCCAAAGATTTTCTATGGGGTTGAGATCTGGAGACTGGCTAGGCCACTCCAGGACCTTGAAATGCTTCTTACGAAGCCACTCCTTCGTTGCCCGGGCGGTGTGTTTGGGATCATTGTCATGCTGAAAGACCCAGCCACGTTTCATCTTCAATGCCCTTGCTGATGGAAGGAGGTTTTCACTCAAAATCTCACGATACATGGCCCAATTCATTCTTTCCTTTACACAGTTCAGTCATCCTGGTCCCTTTGCAGAAAAACAGCCCCAAAGCATGATGTTTCCACCCCCATGCTTCACAGTAGGTATGGTGTTCTTTGGATGCAACTCAGCATTCTTTGTCCTCCAAACACGACGAGTTGAGTTTTTACCAAAAAGTTCTATTTTGGTTTCATCTGACCATATGACATTCTCCCAATCCTCTTCTGGATCATCCAAATGCACTCTAGCAAACTTCAGACGGGCCTGGACATGCACTGGCTTAAGCAGGGGGACACGTCTGGCACTGCAGGATTTGAGTCCCTGGCGGCGTAGTGTGTTACTGATGGTAGGCTTTGTTACTTTGGTCCCAGCTCTCTGCAGGTCATTCACTAGGTCCCCCCGTGTGGTTCTGGGATTTTTGCTCACCGTTCTTGTGATCATTTTGACCCCACGGGGTGAGATCTTACGTGGAGCCCCAGATCGAGTGAGATTATCAGTGGTCTTGTATGTCTTCCATTTCCTAATAATTGCTCCCACAGTTGATTTCTTCAAACCAAGCTGCTGACCTATTGCAGATTCAGTCTTCCCAGCCTGGTGCAGGTCTACAATTTTGTTTCTGGTGTCCTTTGACAGCTCTTTGGTCTTGGCCATAGTGGAGTTTGGAGTGTGACTGTTTGAGGTTGTGGACAGGTGTCTTTTATACTGATAACAAGTTCAAACAGGTGCCATTAATACAGGTAACGAGTGGAGGACAGAGGAGCCTCTTAAAGAAGAAGTGACAGGTCTGTGAGAGCCAGAAATCTTGCTTGTTTGTAGGTGACCAAATACTTATTTTCCACGATAATTTGCAAATAAATTCATTAAAAATCCTACAATGTGATTTTCTGGAAAATTTTTTCCTCAATTTGTCTGTCATAGTTGACGTGTACCTATGATGAAAATTACAGGCCTCTCTCATCTTTTTAAGTGGGAGAACTTGCACAATTGGTGGCTGACTAAATACTTTTTTCCCCCACTGTATGTGGTTGTCTCACCTAGCTATCTTAAGATGAATTAACTTACTGTAAGTCGCTCTTGATAATAGCATCTGCTAAATGACTAAAATGCCAAATGTATATGTTTTGCATACAGATTTTTAAATATTGATGTCACAATTGTATAATTTGTACAGTTATTGATTAAAAATGTAGTTATGGGTTACATTTGACTGTGTAAAACCTAGCAGTTCTACTTATTTATCCGAGAGTGAGGCGGATATGTACATTTTGCAAAAAAACAGGATTATTTGGCTCTCTAAAATAAAACCATCAAGTGATAGATTTTAAACAAATACAGTGAGCTCTAAAAAGTATATATTTTTTGTTTTGGCTCTGTACGCCAACACTTTGGATTTGATGATAAAATGACTGTGAGGTTAAAGTGCTGACTGTCAGCTTTAATTTGAAGGTATATCAGGTGAACCATTTAGACATTACAGCACTTTTTGTACATAGTCCCCCCATTTTAGGGGACCAAAAGTATTGGGACAAATTCACTAATATGTGCATTAAAGTAGTAAAAGGTAAAGTATTTGGTATCATATTCATAGCACGCAATGACTAGATCAAGCTTGTAACTCTACAATCTTTGTTGGATGCATTTGCTGTTTGTTTTGGTTGTGTTTCAGATTATTTTGTGCCCAATGGAAATCAAAGGTAAATAATGTATTGTGTCATTTTGGAGTGATTTTATTGTAAATAAGAATATGATTCTAAATACTTATACATTAATGTGGATGTTACCATGTTTACGGATAATCCTGAATGAATCATGAATAATTATGAGTGACCATTACAATAACATTTTTATTCATGATAATTCCGGATTATCCGTAATCATGGTAGCATCCACATTAATGTAGAAGTGTTCTAGTTTATTTCATCTTCATCCCAGTGAGGTCTTTTTCAATGCCACATCAAAAGAAGGATCCTGCCAATTGGAGCAGCTGGAGTCATTACTGTGTTGGGAGAGCACATGAGGTACCAAGCAAGTCAAAGTCCTCTGGAGTTTAAAGTGAATAGTGAATAATGAATTAATTATATTTCTATGTTGGTCTGTTTGTGCC